AAGATATGGGTATAGCTTCAGAACTGTACTTGAAAAAACCATTAAGGTTTACACAATTTTTAAATGGCAAGCTCACAAGATGAATTCCGAGCAATGTGCAATTATTCAGCCTGGGGTCAAATAGAGCACCATCAGAGCTCTTAAGAGTCTTGCAGAGTTGGGAGTGAAGAGCATGCCAAACGTGGGCTGACTCCGAGGAGGGACCTCCCCAGGCAGACTAGAAAACATTTTCAAAGACAATTAAGGTATGAGAGAATACCTACGTAACACAGAAAATACCTTCCCTGGGGCTGTTAGAAAATTAATTCTAAGTCCAGGTGCTATGTGGAAGCACAAGGAGTGTGAGACTCAAGTGTGTGTTGGGTGAGGATACAGAATGGGTAGAAATGGACCTTCAGGGACCCTGCAAGTGCTGATAAGGAGTCTCAAGTCATTCTGTGGCGTGATGAGGAGTTAAAGGAGGGCTTTGAAATGGGAAAAGAGACAGGGATCTGTCGACTGAGCCCTTCCCCAACAAGGGAGACAAGTTGAGAGATTGTGGCCAAGAACAGTAGCCAGGGAAAAGGTGAGCAAGGAATTTGAGAGGGTAGCAGGTACAATTCACAGGACTTAAAGACGTGGATGGGCACGGTTTCTGGTACAAGGGGTTTTTTGTTTTTAATGAGGATCCTATTACTGTGTGCTGGTTCTCATACTTAATCAGCATCAGAATTGCTGGGAGGAAAGCTGATTAAAAATGTAAATTTCCAGGTACTACCCAGCCCTCAAAGACTGTGATTCATGTCAGTCTAGCATGGGGCCTGTGAATGCCTTTTCCCCACTCAGCAGCCGCCCCAAGTTTCATTGTTAAAGCAGAGGTGTGGGTGTGGGTGGTGTCATGGTGGCAGATAAAGTGTAATGGGACAAAGATAATGATAATGCTGAAGGGGTAGGGAGAGAGCTTTCTCTACTCTTGAACAAAAGAACAAAAAAGCCACATGCAATCAAAACTGGTTTAAGTTTTATGCTTATAGTTATAGCTACTGAAAATACACAAAGATGATATGTTTCCACCAGAAAGCAGCTCAGTAAACACACGCAAGAGCAGGAGCTTGGTGGAGAGGTCAATGGTTCAGGAACTCAGGGAGGGAGGGTCACCTGAAGCCACAGGCTTTGCTGGGTACCAAGTGCTAACGACCTCAGTGCAAACCTCAGGGAAAGGTAAGGCCCATCCTCCACCCCGCCGGCCCTGTGGAGACTTCCAAAAAGAACCAGGGAAATTTTGCTAATGATTTGCCACCCAGCTCACAACTTGGTTAGAACTTACACTGGGGATTCTCACCTCGGCACCACAGATATGACGGCTTGTCAATGCTGCGCACTGTAGTATGTTTAGCAGCATCCCTGGCCTACTAGATGCTGATAGCGCCTCACCGAACTGAGGAAACATAGCGATAAATGGGTGGAGGGGAAAGCAGGGGACACGGCCACTGAGAAGCACTGCCTTAACTCAGAGGCTTCACAGTTGTGGAATGAACAAAAAGGCCCTGGAATCAGAGAGACAGGGCTTTGAATCACAGATACCCCACTTAAGAGAAAAAACTTCAATGTGCTTATGTATTCACCTTTAAAACGGGGATAAGAGAACCCACCAGATAGGGTTGTTGTGAGGATTACGTAAAATAATGTCTTCTGAGCTTAGGGCAGTGCCTAGCCCAGGAGACAATTAGTAAACATTGGCTTTCATGTTTTCAAAAAGATGTTTTGAAGCAGCAGGGATATTTGCTTACAGCTTTGGCTTTGGTGGAAGTGAAGTGCAGTGAAGTCGCTCAGTTGTGTCTGACTCTTTGTGACCCCATGGACTGTAGCCTACCAGGCTCCTCCATCCATGGGATTTTCCAGGCAAGAGTACTGGAGGGGGTTGCCATTTCCTTCTCCAGAGGATCTCCCCGATCCAGGGATCAAACCCAGGTCTCCCTCATTGTAGGCAGACGCTTTACAATCTGAGCTACCAGGGAAGTCCTAACCTCCTCCCCAAAGGAACAATACAGAGAAATGACAGTCCCGGTCCTCTCTCTAGCTCCTAGGATCTACAGGTTGATGGACTCCCAAAGGGCCACTGGACACAAATCAGGGGCTCTGTGAACACAGATGACAAAAATAAACATCCTTATTTTCACTAACTGAAACTTAACATTTTATTCATTGCTGCTTGTAAAACCGCACATTACCAACTACCTGGCCATTGACACAACAGAAGCACCGTTTTTCCTTATCAAATAACAGCTGAAATACCAATTTTCATGGCTCTACTTCAAAATTATGGAAATTATGAGGCCCAAAGCTAGACTATATTTTAATGCATTACTAAAGAAGCATATATTACTATTTACTATGCCACATATTAGAGGATTTATTTTGAAGATGTTCTTTTTTTTAAAAAATGGGTTATTTTACACACTTAAAATTCTTATGTTGAGAAGCGTTCCACAGGCTTTCCCAATGAGGGTTAAAGGCAATACAATTTAAGAACCTCTATCTTACACCTTTTTTGGTTAAGTCCTTAATTCCCAAGGAGACTTATGTTGTTTTTGTGTTTGTTTTTGGCAGTGGCACCCTCTTGCAGGATCTCAGGCCCCAACCAGGGATTGAACCTGAGCCATGGCAGTGAAAGCCCAGAATCCTTACCACGAAGCCATCAGCGAACATCCATGTTCTTAATTTATTAAATAAGATTTTTGTTATGCAACTAATTTGTTCATTTGAATGACACAAGTCACTTTGTTTCCCTACCTAAACTATAGATCAGTGGTCCAAAAGGCGGACCCAACAGCATTGGCCACATTTCCCCACTCAGGACCCATTCTCCACATTCTAAAGGTAAATGTGTGCCTGGTTTTCCTCTAGTGGACTTGAACTAGCTTTCCACCTTTAACATAACACCAATCAGGTACTGTATTTAACCAGTACTTCTCAAACATCTGTAAGAATCAACAGGTCTGTATCCCAGATCATGAAGGTCAGCTTTCAAAGATACTCCCAGCCCAGGGACGAAATGGACACGAAAAAGAAGACTGCTACCTTTCCAGGGCAGGCGGAGGTTATATGTACCTCACTCTCCTCTATCTATAAAGCATACTTGCTGGCTGCCTGATGTAAACGAACCACATGTCCTCCACCTGCCCAGAGATGCTTAAGCTATACCAATGTGGGACATGTTTATTCTTGTTAGCCTCAGGCTGAGAAATCACAAAGTGTTTTCCAGGCTCAAGGGTCTTCAAAGTTGAATACTTCACTTACAAGATCAAAGATGAGATTGTTTTTTCCAGCAGAAACTAAAATTTCCTGAGTTACCTCATCAACCAGAACTAAACAGGCACCGCCAGGCCCAATCTATAATTGGCTGCAATGGCTCAGTACCTGCTGGGTACTAGACTAGCTGGCTTGCACTGGTTAACTAAGTTAAACAAAATCGCAACAGAGTAAAATAACTAAGTGGTTCAAGTTTAATTCCATTAAAATCACATCATGGAACTGGAGCATTAGGAAGGATTACTGACAAACGGGAAAAAGAACATGATTCCAGGCTCCACAGGCATTTGACTCACCCTTGAGTCACATCCAATACTCACATGCCAAGAGTAGTATCTTTTGACTCATTATTATCAATTAAAATAAATGTTTTTGGAGACCTCACAGGTGGTAGACTTCTCACCAAGTGCCCCTTAACGAGAACCAAAAACTCTGATTCTAGTTTAGCCAGATCCCCTTATTTTACAAGGGTGGACACCTAAGGACAGCAAGGGTGACATGCCTCCCCCCAAAATCAAGTGATGGGGGAATACAATAAGAATCAGGGCTCTCGTTCTCCCAAAACAGTTCTGCAGGGACTCAAGATCTAACACAGATGCACACTCAACATGTCCCCTTAGTATCTCTTTCTTCACCTTGCCATCAAAACTTTTTCATCTTGAAGATTAACAATCTGGGAATTAAGAGTAACTGGCTGGGAATTCTCAATCTTTTCTTTTTTTTTTTAAACTTTCTCTGCACACAACTAAATTATTTAGATGCTACTTCCACACCTCACCAACTTCGAACCTGCCAGATTCTCCTGCTCCCTTCCAAACTGCAGGTCCAGAGTTCTCTCTCCCTCTCTAGCCAGTGACTGCCCCAAATGTACAGGTTCTCTCGATTTTCCCCTGGCTTCTACAAATGAACACAGAAGGCCATTGGGAACGACCTGAATTAAGCTAAAAAGTGTTTAAGGCTTCAAGCAAAGACACTCAGATTGAGGGAAGTGCCAAAATCTTCCAGCCTCATCGTTACCCTCCTGAGAGCCTAGAAAACCCACGCTCAATGGGAACAGGTGAGTGTTCATACATGCTTGTCACCAAAAACTCAACTTAGCAGCTAAGTGACCTTGAACCACTATCTCTTCCTCAAGCCTCACTCTCCTCACCTCTCAGTTGTGTATACTAGAAGCTTCACTAAGCCCTACAGCTAGCAGGCTAATTACTCAACAAAACCTTTCTAGCTATCTGCAATCACCATTTCATCTCCTGATTCTCCGCAGCCATCTCCAGCCTCACATCAGAAAGGGGCGAACTAAGAAATGCTTTTTTCTCCTTGTCACTTCCCCACCACCCAAATAAACTGACACTACTTAACTACCTTGCAGTGTTTCACCGAAACTCCATTCAAAGTCCGGGGCGGGGGAGCCCTACGAAGTGTGCACTATCCTCCATTGTTACAAGGCTCAGAAAGGTCGAGAAAGTCACAAGCAGAGCCAGTCAAGACACGACGCAAACGTAGGTCTTCCTTCTGTCCCTAAAGTCTTATTTTCCCCCTCTCATCTTATGCCTTTGGAAAACATTTACATTGGGGGAGAAAATGCTAAGTGAGTACTCAGAAGTTTAAAAAAAAAAAGGCGGGGGGAGAGAAAGTGTGAAAGTAATGTTTTCAACAGTAACAGAAAAGCTGGTTCTAGCCAATAGAGAGGGAGACTGAAAAAGCAAGACCTGGGGGAGACGCTCCAAGTGGGACGGACGGGAGGCGCAGATTCCAGTCTGCGGCACGCACAGGTTTAAAAGCCACCAGAAAAAAGACCAGCAGCCCTCCCCCTCCCCCCACCCCGTGTTAGAAGCTCCAGAAAAAAGCGTGCGGAATACGCTTCGTCTCCACGATTCCCGCAGTCGGTCCGGACTTTCCCAGCCCTCTGTTCTGGCCGGCTCGCGGTCTTCGAAGCCTCCCTGACCCCGAGACTTAACAGTTCCCGCGCTCGGACCTCACCCCCCCCCCAATAATAATATAATCATCGTTTCCTTTTCCCCTGCCCCTTTCCTTTCCGGGGGAATCTGTCTCCTACGCAGTTGTCTGAGAATTCTGCGAGCGCGGCGCGGTCCTGCCTCAGGCCGGCTCCCACGAGGGGAGCCCCCGCCCCCGGGGAATTTACGCGCCTCGGGGAACTGGGAAGGGGGAACGGTCCCACCGGCCGGCCTCCGCGCACGCCCGCCGCCCCCGGGGGGGGGACGCGGCCCCCCGGGAATCTTCCTCCCGCGCGGGGGACGCCAGGGGACCCCGACGGGGACGGCCGATCCCGCGTGGGACGCGGGTGGACGACCCGGGCCCCGGAGGGCGGCTCGGTCCGGGTCGAGGAGGGTGCACGACTTCCGGGGGGCCCACCCCCCGCACTTCCCCCAGACCGGCCCCCAAACCCAGGCCCCTCTGATTTCCTGGCCAAGCCAAGAAAAAGAAATGCTTGGATCCACCCTGGAGTCTAAAAGTACTGCCGCCTTTTTCTTAACTCTTCAAATGCTACAATTTAATCCATTAAAATTGTCATTGCCATTATCATCAGCCAGGGCCGGCTCTGCGTTTCAGCACCGAATAGAAAGCTCTTCGGTATTACATGTTAGTTACCTACGTTTTTTGTGTGTGTGAAAAATGGGAACTGGGAAGAAGCAAGTGAGAGGCAAACGTGGTTAATGTTAATTTGAGAAATGACAGCTTCTAGAGTTGCTCGTCCGTCACTGATGGCCCTGTTCATGGCATTGAACCTTTCTCCTGCGGGCTTCTCTATGACTTGGGGGTTCTAGCTGGTAGTCAACAAGATGTGCAAAGGAGAGGATAGCAGCATCTGGGCACTAAAGCCTTCTTGATGACACTGCCCCTGGGCAAAGGCCTCCATCATCCCATCAGTCCTTTGTGCCTCTCCCTGCGTTCCCAAGTTCCTCAGAAATTGCTGAAATGGCTGGACACAGTCTAGATCAGTGAACTCTACCTCCTTGTTACAAGGCAAGGGCGAACCTAGATATTAAGCTTATCTCTTCTGCAGACACTCCTTATTGGCTGTTTTGCCGAGTCCTTCGCCTTTCTTCAAGAACTGGGCCAGTTTCTTCATCGGTGGCCTTCAATAGACCATCCTGTTAAGAACTGGATCTGCTTTCAGCCCCCACATTGATTTTCTCCTGCCCAGGCCGCCTGTTTGTTGCCCTGAACAGTTTGCTTTCTTCTGTGGATCACAGAGTCCTCAGTTACAGTAGCTATTCTGCTATCTTGGCCTTCAGTCTGTAATCTTCAGACTGCAGCTCCTGTTTGCTTCCTGGAATGTTCTCCAGTTCTGGCCATTCCTCTGGAGTCAGGGCCCTGGGAACCCAGTTGTTTTGTCTGCCATGTTGCAGGTGCAGCAGGGCTCTGTCAGGCCTCCTCAGGCTCAGAAGGGTCCTCTGCTTGGTTTAACTTTCTGCTCTCACTGTCTTGAAATTATTAATAAATCTTGAACGAGGGGCCTCTTGTTTTCATTTCGCACTGGGCCTGCAAATTATGGAGCCAGTCCTGCTTAGCAGCTTGTGTCTTGGCAGGACAGCTGACAGCGGCCAGAGCTAGTGCCCAGCCTTGCCTCTGCAGGTAAAAAACAGACAGAGAGGAAAATCAAGACGCTGTGCCATTAACTCATCGGACAGTCACAAAAAAAGCAGAGTTTAACAGAAATGCTTCATACTGTTAGCATAGCATCAGAGATAAATGGGCCTTGAAATGGAGCCAGCATTGTTGGGGTAATTTTAAGCATGTTTACAATGCCTGTATCACCTACCAACGACAGGATCCTGGCAAGATTGTTAAAAGTAGGACATGGACAAGAATCAAAGGGGTGAGGCCTTTTTAAATACCTCCAACTGGGCTATGAGTACCTATCTCGATTCTGGAAGGTATTCTCCTTGCCTGGGTTTTATAATCTAGGTCCCTCACTTCAAGGTCTGTCAGAGGACGAATAATCACTTTGTTTGTGGGAACTGTTTGTGTTAGAGTTGACTGGTGTGTGTCTTCTGTGAAACTATGGTCACATCAGAGAATTCAGCAACTTATCCTGCAACAAAAAAGCAGAAGAGGGATTTCCATGGTGGTCCAGTGGCTGGGGTGTGGAATCTAGTTCCCCAATGCAGGGGACCTGGGTTCAGTCCCTGGTTGGGGAACTAGATCCCACATGCCATGACTAAAGATCCCACATACTGCAACAATCTAACCCAGTACAGCCATTTTAAATAAATAAATTTTTAAAAAGCAGAAGAGACTTACCCAACTCCAGCCTGAATTTTCGAAGCAACATCCTCATCATCAACAAAATCTTGGCAATGGTGAAAATGTAGACATCATGGATTAATGTCCTCTTGACTGCCCTCATCTATTCTTGGCCCAAAGGAGGCCTGAGACAGAGAAAAGCAGCGCCTGGTATCTGACAAAAGCTGGCCAGGCACTCTCCTGTTGAACACAAACAATTCCCCAGAACTCCAACATCAGACAAGGCCACTCTGAGTTCAAGATGGGACTGAACAAAAATAGGACCACTCCGGAATCTTGTCAGAACACGGAGCAGGAACTTGTCCAAACCACCAAAATCACCCAACGTCTGTGGGTCCTGGCTCCTAGGAGTGGCTTTGGCTTCTTCACCAATCCCAGCCTTAGTCTGGTCTTCCCCCTTCTCTGTAAGGTTATTAAGATACCCCATCAGGACTCACCCCTGCTTCTTGACAGCACCCAACCCAGAGCAACACCCAGCTTCCTTCAGTGTTCCCCAGAGAACCCACTGCCACATGGGGTCCTTTCTGAGCCCTCTCTCTGTGGTGCCCCGTGGATCCCCACGCTGCAGGGCTATTCCACTGCAGGAGTCGCTGCGGGGCGGGGTGGGGAGGGGGCGCAGTGGTGGTGGGTGGAAGATGGTGACAATAAGATTAAGTCAGTACGTAGAGGGGAAAAACTGAGGTGACCCTCTTAGCAAAATGCTACTTACTGTGATATACTTCTCTCATCCAAAACTCACATTGCAGGGGCCCATCTGCTTATTGGTAGTCATGCCAACTTGCACGTCCACAACAGTTTTTAAAAACTCAGAAGAACCACACTATCCTGCACAGTTAATAACAGTAGCTACCTTCTGGGAAGAAGAAAATCGAAAACAGAAAAGAACTGTGTTAAAAAGGAGAAGGCAGTGGTGGTGGCAGGGAAGTGGGGGTGCTAACTGGACACCTCCTGGGGCTATAAGAACCCAGAGGCCACCTATTGGGCTTATAGTCCAAACCTTCCTTGTGAGGAGAGGTAGGGGGCCGGCGGGGAGCGCTCCCCAGTAGCCCTTTGTTTTACTGTTTTGTTGTTTGCTTTTTCACCAGTTCACTTGGGACCCTTGGAGACATTCTGCCTCCCTCCCTCCTGTGTACAGCTGTGGTGAAATCACTTCCTTTCTTAAAAATAAAAAAGAAGAACTGGCCTTAGCTGTTAGGGTTACAGTGGCTGACAGAAATCTGGATCACTCCCCCACCACTTCTCAGATGAATGTGGGCCTCGCCTAGCTAGTTAAACATGATTTAAATTTCTTTTGTTGTTGTTGTTTTTTATTTAAATTTCTGATTAAAAAGAGTATATTATCCGAGAGGGGCCTGGAATCCTTGATACAATGATTCTCAACTTGGGCTGTACACTGGAATCACCTAGGGGACTTTAGAAGCTCTTGCTGCTCCCTTAGCCTGCAGCTCAGGCATTGGGTTATTAAAATAAATATATAAAAACCCAGGAGATTCTAATGTAAAGTGAAGTGTGACACTGCCAGATCCCAAAGCATTGTGAACCCCAATAGATAAACCCACAAGGATGGGCTCTGATACAAGTAAATAAAGACATTCAAAAGCCAGAAAATAGCAAGTGTTGACAAGGATATGGAGGAATTGCTGGTGGGAGTGTAAAATGGCAGAGTCTTGTTGAAGACAGTTGGGCAATTCTCAAAACACTACACATACAGTTACCATGCAACCCAGCAATTCCACTCTTGGTATATATACCCAAGAGAATGGAAAAACAGGTGTTCAAACAGAAACATGTACATGAGTGTTTACAACAGCACTATTTACAATAGCCGAAAGGTGGAAACGACCAAATTTCCATCAACAGATGAATGGATAAACAAAATACTATTCAGCCATACAAAAGGAATGAGGTACTGATACATGGCACAATACAAATGAACCTTGAAAACATTATGCTAAGTGGAAGATGCCAGTCACAAAAAGACAAACACTGTACGATTCCACTTGAGATGTCCAGCATAGGTAAATCCATACAGACAGAAACAGGGCTAGCACTTGCCAACTGCTGGGGGATGGAGGGAAGTGAAGGAAGCATGGGTTCAACCCCTGGTCAGGGAACTAAGATCCTGCATGCCTTGCTGGTCTAGCCATAAATAAATCCTTAAATTGCCATCTGGGAAAAAAAAAAGAAGAAATGCTGTCCGACCCATCCCATTTCCTCCTTTTTTTTTTTTCCATTTCCTCCTTTCCTCTCATTTCCAGCAAAGAATGATGCCTTATGGGGAGGGGAGATTAAACTGTTGTAAGGCATTACCTAAGTGCTGATGCTCAAATAATGACACAATCAAAATTGTTACCAAGAAAATAATAGAACATGTTTTGGTCCCAAAAGTAATGCCCTGGCTTCCCATCTGAATTCAGCATTTACTACAGCTATACTCAGTGCCTGCTCAGTTGCTCAGTTGTGTCCAACTCTTGCGACCCCATGCACTGTGAGCCCTCCAGGCTCCTCTGTCCATGGGATTTTCCAGGCAAGAGTACTGGAGTGGGTTGCCATTTCCTACTCCACACAGCTATATTCAAAGATGTAACTAAATTCTCAATTGTTGGCACTAGTTACATATATATAATACATTTCTGTTGTAAAACAACTATACTTCAATAAAAAAATTGTGATAAACAATAGATACATACTTTTATATAACATTGATTCCTTGCTTCCTCTGTCTCTAAGGAGGTAGTTTGCAGAATTGTTAGGATCAAAGCTTTTGTCAACCACCCTGGATCCTAATTTTGATTCTTCCATTTGCTTGCAGGTGACCTAGGGCAAATGATCTAATCTTTCTAAGTTTCTTCAACTATGAAAGAGGTATCACAACAGCATCTCTTTCACATGATTGTTCTGAGGATTAAATAAATTAGTAGAAGTATAATAGCACTTCAACAGTGCCTGGCACATAGAACACCCCATGCAATGATCAGCTATTAGTGAGTTAAGGCTAATGTTTAACTGGGGAGTTTCCTTCACCCCAGTCCAAATGGTGAGTACCTGGGGGTTTAGAGGGCAACTCCCGTTTCAGTTACCATTTCCCTAGAGGAGAGGCAAAAGATTTGCAAAGCTCACAGAGGGTCCACTTATCTTAAATGTATTTGCTACAACTCAGCAGTCAGAGGTAGTCCCAGAAGCTGACTGCACTAGGATTGGACATAAGCCACCATTTTGCAGCACCATGCCCTTTCATCTGTTGGGCATTTGAGTCTTTGTCCTCACCTGAAACACCTCCTTTCTCCAGTGGAAAAGCCCACACATGAGCATTCAAGGGCCAGTTCAAATGCCACCCCTGATCTAGGCAGAGCTGATTGCTCGTTTGCTTGTTCACCTGTGTTCCCACAGCTCATGAGTCAGCCCTCCAATGAAGAACTTTCCATCTTGCATTAGTGGCAGCATGCTAGTGCTCCTCCAACTAGACCTGTGTTTCTCTCCAGCCATCACTTCTCAAATGAGACAATGATCCAGAAAAAGCACAGCCCAAGTGTAGATGCTTGTTAGTGAAATGAAGGCTCGGGGACAGGACTGTAAGCAGATAGGGTAGGGGGGTCCCCAGAGAAAGAGAACCAGGCATGGCTTTCTTGAAAGAGAAGCCATTTTTGGCCTAAGCTGTTTTGTGATCTAAGCCTGGCCACAATGCTTACCCTTGAACAGTCCTCAGTAATTAATGATTGCAAGGGAAGTGAGGGGATGCAGGAACAAAGGAAAATCAGTCAAAAACAATAGTTCAGCAATAAAACAGAGTCCTAGTTCCTCCTTAAGGGATATACACAACAATCGGATACATTGTCGTTGAGTTCTTTGGGAACTAAAGCCCGCAGCCAGGATATTGACATTTTCTGATCCTTAAGACTTCAGTCACCTAAAACTTGAACTCTGTCAACCCTTGCCCCGGTGCTATCCTGAATTCTTCTCTGCCAAGTTCACAAATATGCATGTACCCTTAGCTTAAAACTTCCCCAGTTTTGCTCTTTGGGGAGATACTGCTTTGGGAAAGATCCCTGGTGGGCGTTCTCCTTACTTGCTCCAAGTAATGACTCCTTCCTCCTCCTGATCAATCTCTGACTTGGCTATGTCTTTTGACTCGACACCCACCAAGAGATGAACTAGTTTTCAGGTAACAGGACTCTGGTGCCCTAGTTCCCAGGCCAGGGTTCTTTTCTTTAAACTCCATTTTCCTTGTGTGCAGCTTCCATTATTGAATGTCCACTATGGACCATAGTATTTGTAAAGTACTGTGGGTTCTTTCTGACTCAAGTTTGGATTGCTCAGTTATGTCCGACTCTTTGCAACCCCCGTGGACTGTAGCCTGCCAGGCTCCTCTGTCCATGGGATTCTCCAGGCAAGAATACTGGAGCGGGTTGCCATTCCCTTCTCCAGGGGATCTTCCCAACCCAAGGATTAAAACCCAGGTCTCCTGTACTGTCGGCAGATTCTTTATCATCTGAGCTACCAGGGAAGCATACGTCATTTCTAATCCTTGCAACCCAACAAGGTTTAGCCCCTGTTTAAAGACAGAGACACTGGGACTTCCCTGGTGATCCAGTGGTTAAGACTCTGTGCTTCCACTGCAATGGGCATGGGTTTGATCCTTGGTCAGGAAAGTTTCACATTCCCTGTGGTATGGCCAATACATAAATAAATAAAAGGGATTGCTATTAAAATATAAAAATGAAAAATAAAGACATAGACACTGAGGCCAAGTGCATGCAGGGGTCAGTCTGACTCCAAAGTCAGGAGACTTCTAGTTTATGGTGTTGCCTCTCAGTACAGGAAGTGAGAGCAGGAAAGAGCACTGAATGGTTCATTTAAAACTCACTCATTCTACATGCAGATAAGTGTTGTTTTAAGGAAAGGAGAGAAGAAAAGGAGAGATTACATTTTGGCATGCAAAGGCAAAACAATAAATATTCTTTTTTCCTGTTCCTGGATCCCATTACAGCTTCTTCAAAGCAAGTGAATTTATGCATGTTGACACAGCTCTTATTTTAAAATCTTCTTTGGCTCAGTTTTCAGCTTCTTTCCCTTGGCACAACCAGTCTCATGACTCCCCTTTGTCAGGCTCTGAGAATCTGCCTAAAATTATTATGCAGCAGTTACTGTTAAGATCTACGCTACAAAAATAATTCACTTCTCTACAGTATGCCATAGGGGTTTCTTCTGGTTTTACAGTATATTACATGGTATAGCACCATGTTAATCATAAAGATCTTGGACTTTAAGGATAAATTAATATTTTAAAAATAGATTTACAAATATATAGTTTTCTCATTTTTGTCTGAAATGGTATATATGTATATATTTTACTCCCACTCCTGCCTGCTGGGTCTAAGTATATTTTGTTTTGATCTAAGTATACCAGTCGTCATTAAAACTTCACAAGTAAAAATGAATGGGTATTATTTTAAACTTGCTTCCTTTAAAAAAAAAACCAGGTTATTGCGCTTTGGTTATTTGCAATTAATCAAAACTAATTCAGAAACTTCACATTATCATGCTTGTGCGAAATAGAAAATCATACTGCAATGCGAGATGCCTGCCAAATGGGAAAAATAAAGTTCAAAAAACGTTCCATTACTGTTATAAAGCAATGGTAAGATCTCCAACCAGGCCAAACCAACATCATATGCCTCCCACTGGGATGTACTGAGAAGAACCCAACATCCTTACTATGGTCTTTTTTGCCAAAAATGACCATATTTTTGCCAAAAATGACCATATTATTATTTTCCAATAATCTAATCATGAAGAAACATCAGCTAAACTAAAACTAAGGGACCTTTCACAAAATGAATGACTTATATTCTT